TATTTATATAAAATAAACCTTTGTTAAGCATATGGGTTATAAAGTGTTATGTAACAGGAAACATTTAATAAGAAGATACTTAAAGTTCTGTTTATGTTGTATGAACATGTCTAGTTAAGTTTTCCTTGGCCCCATTGTGCAAAATAATTTATCTGTCCTAAGTAAGGAGTGAAGTTGTTTTTCTAGTGTTCTCATCATGCTGGTACAACATACTTGACACTGAAAAGCTTTGAGATTCTGCAAGAGAACATTTGTAGAATACTGTAGTGACTTCAGAATACAAAGACACAAATAAGAATATGCATGTTTGGGTTGCAGTTTGATCAGTTACAAATATCAGTGAGGAATTTTGGTTATTTAAAAACATCTACTGCCAGCACTTCCAATGCCTTCTGATGATGACTGTGAGTGGCCCACTGTCTTCTACCTTTCTCTCTGGGCAGGACACCAAGAGCCAAGAAAGGAATTTATAAGACAGGGCATAGTTAAAGATCAGCCTGTTTGCCTCCAAATCCATCAGACAGTAGGTACTTACCTGTGTTTAGATAAGACACTGTAGAAGAAGGAGCCTAACATATGAGGCATCTAGATGTCAGCAATAGCAGAGGTCTGGAATGTATTTCCTAGAAAGGACCATATTGGCCAAGGACACACAAACAAATTGTCTTGACTGGTAAGATTCCAAGGGTCAGACCACAAAACTGAAAGAAATTAGATCGGACTGAGATCTTAAGTTATGGCTAAGATCCAGTCCTCAAAAGGAAAGAATCACATGAGAGTTGGAAGACTTTGTCTGGGAAAAGAGATGTCACCTCTGCCTTTAATTCTCTGGCTGATGTTATAAAGGAGAAGCTTATGCCCTTTCATTAGACGTAGAATCACAGAATCATAGAAAGGTTAGGTTTGGAAAGGACCTTAAAGATCATCTAGTTCCAACCCCCGTGCCATTGGCAGGGACACCTCCCACTAGCCCAGGTTGCTCAAAGCCTCATCCAGCCTGGCCTTGAACACCTCCAGGGATGGGTCATCCACAGTTTCCCTGGGCAACCTGTTCCAATGTCTGATCACCCTCCCAGTGAAAAATTTCTTCCTAATATCTAATCTAAATCTGCCCTCTTTCAGCTTATAACTGTTATTCTCACTACACTGCACTGATAGTGTATGTCTAGCTTAGTTGTGTAATAGTAGCATTATGTGTGTGTATAAAGTTAATATATATTGGAGCTTTTTTGTGGACTTGGACCAAAGGTTGATCTCAGTCAGCCTTGCAGTGGGCAAATAGCTAGTCACCTAGCTGCTGAACACAGTGCTGGTCCCACCACACTTTGCCATATTCACTGGTTACCGAAAACATGGTGATCCAGTGAGCCACTCATACACAGAATGGACCTTGACTAAAAGTACTGTTCGAGTTCTCTTCGTAATAGTTTGTAAAGGTGAGTCAATTACTGAAGTAAGATATGGAGTTGATTCTCCATAGATAGATTGGGGTCTATGTGAATCTTACTAGAAAAATGAAGGTCCATAAATTTTGATCTACCTCTGGATGACCTTGGTGATACTTTCAGCAGTGTAGGAAATCTCCAGTATGTTGGAGATCATATCTTTGAAGATGCCTAAAAGCTCATTTTTAAGTTATAGTCAACTGACTGTCTAGCGGTTTCTGAAATATTCAAAATGGGTTGGAAATGGGACTCAGTCTCCTAAGCAATCTTTAAAAACAGGCCAACAAAACTGTTATAAGAACGAGAGGCATGAGTTAAAGGGGTACAACTCAGTGATTTTCCCCCTCTTCAGATGTCCTGTATGATTGTGACATTACCGAGGATCTGGACATGAAGTGGAGTAGACAGATGTTAATTTGTTCCTCTTGCACACTACAGGACGGATATGTATCACCTCTTCTTCATTCCCTGAAAGGCCCTTGAAAATCATTATGAGAAACCAGGAAAAATAGAATTTTTTAGCCCTTTGTCCATCTCAGCTGCTTCTGATGTTCAAGAGATGAACCTCCTAGGCAGGCCTAGCCAAACTCTTTTTCTTCCTGCATATGGCCCACCCCGTGTCTGTTGTTTCCAGTGCAGCACTTTCTTTGTTATCTAATACCAGAGACAAAGGACAGTTATAATTTAGTCACCTCCACTTGTTGGATTAAAAAATAGCTTGCCTAATCACAGAATGTGCCAAGAGATTTTATATAATGGTTTATTAATACCACCTCTACATGGTTTCTCTCCACAAAAAAAGCTTTCCAGGAAAAAGATTTTCACATTCTACATCCCAAGACTAATAAAAAATTGAAACAAATTCTTTGTAGGGTTTTAATTCCCGCTCGCTCTTCTTTTCCTCTCTCTGATTTTAGCAGCTTTCTGTAACAGTGTTCTTTTTGCTTTTCCTGCAGACTGTATGTGGATGGACCTTTTGGAAGTCCCTTTGAGGAATCCCTGAACTACGAGGTCAGCCTCTGTGTGGCTGGAGGTATTGGAGTTACACCATTTGCATCAGTACTCAACACGCTGCTGTAAGTGAGCTTAAGCCTTTTAAAGCCATTTCCCCCCAATTTACCGCAGTAGTGCTTGTCAGAAAGCCTTTCAGAGCATTTAAAAGCTTCTATTAGCATAACATAAGTGAATGTTTCCTTGGAGAAAGGTAGAGGACTGAGATTTCCCCTGAAAAAGTCATTCAGGCTTTTTAACCCAAAGAGTTGTGGCAAAGTTGTGCCCGTAATGCCCCTGAGCCAGGACAGCATCACTAGCCTGTGATTAATGTAGTCGCAGCCCTTCAGCCCTTCAGCTAGACTTGTTCCCCTATTCCCAGCTTAGATGAGGCTATGGACTATGATAGCGAGTTTTTGAGAGTCAGGAAGTTGTGACAGTCTCTCTGCTGGAAATGCAGGCCAGCTCTCCTGGTCTGTCTGACTTCTGTAAATGTGTAAGCTTAAGGTTTTAAAGGAAAGAGATCTTGGATTCAGATATAATTCAGATGTTTAACTCAATTTGAAAAGTTTAAATTTTAGGTATGCCCTTTTCTTTTATTTTTTCCTTTTTTTCTCCTTTAAAAAAAAAAAATTAAATCTTTGACAATTTGTTCAGACCAAACCTTTCATCTGTTTCTCTGTCACACTGGCAACATGATTCCCACCGAATCTTATGCTGTGTGAAATAGGGTTGCTTTTATGATTGCTATTGATTTTTTTTTTTTTCCTGGAGTATTGGCAAAGAGCTTTGGTCCCAGGTTAAACACCCCTGTTTCATAGGCCCTGTATAAACAGCCAGCCAAAGCAGCAAACCTTCCCTGAAGTAGTATTGAAAGGTTATCTGGCTTTGGGAGGGTTTTACGATGCACAACTGAAGCATTAGTTCTAGGATGAATGTTACAATGGCCAGCTCTAACTCCAAAGTGAAGTTAAAAACTGGGGTTTAGATGCTGTGCACTTTCTTCTGTCCTTGATCTGGGCTGACAGTGCTGAGCTCTTGTGAAAATTACCAGCCCCACCTGTCTCATAGTGCTGCACTCCTCAAAGAGCATCCTGGGCTCCCTCATTTTCTTTTCCTGAGAGGGTATTGATCATAGTCTCAGTGAGATAATGTGAAACATTGGTATGTTTTTGCTGAAAGCCTGGGGCCCAGGTGAATAAGATGACCATTTTGCTGATGATGGATTATCCTTGACAGTGTTTAACAAAAAAAAATCACAGATCATAATGATGGGCCAGCAGTGGGTAGCGCAATGTTTGCCTTTACCGGTCTGTTATAGGAGGCTGTAGGAACTTGCGCAGACTGCCGTAAAAAGGTTAGTTTCCAAAAGCTTTTGCAATGTCCCTTTATCTGGATAAAGCCATAAACTGGTTTCCAAGCAGCCAATCCCATAACCTGCCTCTGTAGCCAATCTTCACCTTCTGCACTGTACAATATACAAGGGAATCATTCTGGGAGAAAGTAGCAGTCTTAGCCTACTTTCCTTCTCAGTATTTAAACATCAACAAGGCACCAGATTAGTGGGTGATCTGCTTGTTGTCTATGCCCTTGCTTAGAAGCAGAAAGTTTAAGTGTGAACCTGCAAACTGCCTTACAGTGCCAGCGCTGCAGAGCAGCAGCACCAGTCCTGTTGTGCCAAGGACATGAAGTTCTGGAGTCCTGTTGGCGTAGTCATTTGTTTCCTGCTCAGTTGTGTTCCTTTTGTATGTACACAATTTAATTACTGCTCCTGCCCTTCCCCCCCTGTGCCCTGTGTTTAAGAAAACGTAACTTACATTAAGGAAAGCTAATGGTTTCCATGAAGAAGATTCTGTAAATAATGTCTGTTAGTATGGGCAGCGGTAACATAGAAACACGTAAAAAGTGTTATATACCTGTGGGTTTGGTTGTAATGGGGGATTGCACCTTTATTGCATAATGTATCCTGCTGGAGGTAGATCCAAGCATATGTATCTGAGGTGCTATTTTAAATCTATGCTCGACTTTTTTCATGAAGTCTTGCAGTCCAGCCTCTTTGTCCAGCTGCAGTGTTTCCTCACTGAGAGTGTTTTGTTGCGGAGCTACAGCAGTTCAATACAAAATACCTTGCATTTTTCTCTTCTTTTATCCTTTTTGATGGTGAAAGGCCCTTATTTTCCTTGCTACTGCTTGTAGCTATCTTGTCACATCTGACCAGATTGTGACCCTAAAGGTTTGTCTTAGTATATGCAGTCAGAAAAAGATGGAGGAAATCCTCCTCTGCAGGTCAGCAGTTTACAAATAAAAATGCTGCAATCAGGACTTGAAAGACACTGTACTCTCCGGTCTTAAAGCACTTTTTTTTCTCTCTGTGGGAAGTTTACACAAAAGGTGAGTTCTCAGTCCCTACGTGATGCTGAGAATGTCTCCATCCTTGCTCTTTGGGCTCACAGTGGAGGTTAGGGGTGTGGGGAGATAAGACAGTGATTTGAGTCATCACTTATGTAGATCCATTAATGTGATACCCTTGCTGCATATGCTGGCAACACTAGAGTTTGAAATAATGCACAGTGGGTATGGTGAGATGTATCATGAAACTTTTTGACTGGGGTTGGCTCCTGGGACTAGTGTTTGAAATTGACAGTCTATGGTCTTCTGAAAATTATTTTAGGAGGAAAAGGAGGAAGTCTTTGTACTTACCATTTCAGTTATTAGAACAGAAAACCACTGCATTGGCCAAGTAAGAAGACACTTCCTGGATGTTTATACAATTTTGAATTCATTAATCATCAAGACTTTTTTCACTTCTTTTTCCTATCCCAGTTCATTCCAGTCCTTCCTTTGTGCTATGTTTGTGTTTTATTTGCATTAGGAATCTGGCATGACAATCCTGGTTTTTCTAAATGCAACGCCAGGATCTGCCCATATCTGCACTTTCCCCACCAGCATTTTCTGAGGGCTGCAATATATCACACAGTTCCCTGACACAATGGAGCTCTGATTTGATTTGGCCTTTGTGATTTTGCTAGAGTATTAATTATAATCAAGCAGAGCCTTTCACATATAAAGGCAGAATTAAGTCCTGACATTATTGCATTTGTCAATATTTTCCTCTTACGGGTCATTTTATAAATGTAGTAAAGAATTGACACTTGAACTTAGAATGTCTGCTTTGCTTTGAAATAAAAGTTTGATGATGATGCATGAATCCATATTTGGTGCCCTAATCATCTGTGTAGCTGACAACTTCCTAATGCAGAAACAGTATCTGTGAAGGTTATTGGCTCTGTGATTGAGGTTTAATATTCTCAGGATCATCCTAATAAGCTGTGTTGGTCATTTCAGTGTCTGATGTATCATAGGATGAAGAACAACTTAGCAGTTGGCTTCTAATGGAAAGTCATGTTTCCACTAATGAATATAGAGCATCTTAATTAATGTTTCCGTTTTAAATTATAATTTTAATTACTAAAGCATTTTCTTTTCAAGTAATGGCTGGCAATGCTACAAGCTCAGAAGACTCTACTTCATTTGGGTGTGCAGGGACATTGAATCTTTCCGTTGGTTTGCAGATCTGCTCTGTATGCTGCATAACAAGGTAATGGGTGTTGCTTGGATGGATACTGACATTTTAATAAATGCAGGGTATGTCCACACGACACAAATGGCATGCTATAGAGGAAGGCAGCCCTGCTCAAAGCAAACAAAATCCAGCAGTACTTCTGCTTGGGCTACATGACCCAGACTCCTTTGGTGCTTGTGGCTGCACAAAATAGTTTAAGTATCTGTCACCAGTGTTTCATTTCACAGTGTTGCCATGTACCAGTAGTCTGGACACTTATCTATGAAATTTATGAGATGGAAGAAGAACATGCAAGTTGGGAAGTCTGAATGGCCTTTAGCCGTTTGGCTAGGAGACAGACTGACAGGGGAGGGGGATTTACAATTTCAGGTGGATTTTAAGAGCAGTGTAATTTCCTAAAATAATATTTTGAACACAGCATGATGTACAACATTCTGGTGTTCACAAAGGGGAGCTATGCAAGTGTATCTTCTTCATTAAAAAGCTTACTTCACTGATGCTGAAACACATGTCTTTCAGGACAGCAGGCACAAGTGACTTTATGCTTATATTAAGAGAAGGGATATTATTTCACTAGCTGTTTTTATCATCCCCCCAGCTTTGGCAGGAGAATCGACCAGACTATATAAATATCCAGCTGTACCTCAGTCAAACAGATGGAATACAGGTATGTGTCTAAATGCTGTTTGTAAACTGAACTAGACCTTGGGGTAGTAGGCAAGGCAAGCTGTCAGTCAAAGGCAAAAAGGAATTACTCCAGATGGTAAAAACAGGAAATGAGGCCATAAACTCAAGTGACTGATTCATTGCTAGGGCAAGAGAGCAAGTCCATTCCCACAGTGTTAATAGAATCTAGCCTAGTAGCCTTAACTTGATTAGATGTGGGCAGAAGTCCATATCTTCCTTTTTCTAGGAAAGCGGTCCTTCCAGGCCAGGCCACAGACCAGACAGTTAGACATGTTTTATGGGAAATCTGCATCATTTCTGGGCTATGAATCAAAACAGAATAGTTTGAGGAGCTTACAAGCACAAGCCTTTTCAAATAAATATTTTGAGAGAAACTAGCTATTTTTAAAAGCTTTAGATTTCTTTGCCTCAAATATAGACCAAAGTCACAAATTTCTTGATATATGAGACTGGAAATTATACTGAACTGTCTATTGTCATGTATTACCAACCTCAAAGCTGGGCTAATTCCCCAAATCTTGGCATCTCCCATTGCTATTTATGCTTACAATCTTCATTTTACATTATTTAGCACACGAGCCTGGGCCTGATTCTTTACCCTGCTGCATCTGGAAGCTTTCCATTGACTGCAGTGGGCCTAGAACCAAGCCTAACAGCTACTACAAAACATGAAATACAGTGACAAACCATGCCCAAAGGATTTTGATCTGCATGGTATCAGGTGGAGGCAGCATAACATAGCTCAGTTAGGAGCACTATCCAGTAGTGTAAATGATGTGGTAGCTACAGGAGCTATGAACAGCGCTCCACAGATTTAATGCCTGGACAACATACGTCAATTGGAATGGCATGCTTGAAAATACCTAATTGATGAACCTGGTATGTAATTGCTAGGTTCGAATTAAAACTCAAAGCCAGCACTGCATTGCAATGACACAGCAAGGTTGTAATAACAGGCAATTCAAAGCAAGTTTTCCAGTATTGTGTATCAAGCAGCTACTGAATTGATTTAAGTCAACTTTGTTTTAAGTCTTTCTTTAAAGTCACTTTTCTTTTGTGGCTGTTGAACAAAACTGGCATGAACTATAATGTTACTCATGATTTCTCAAGGGGGCATTAAACTCAACTCTCCATTGCCATACAGCTTATGTGATCAGTGATGTTAGTCCAAAGTGCTGACTTCTACCAAAATTAGGACAGTTCCGCTTCGTGCTCTCTTTGCTCAGAAGTAGCATGCCTGTGTGACAACAGGGAGCCAAGCCCATCTTTCAGCAGATGCCTCTTGAGTATAAAAGGCCAACGGAGGATGAGTTAGCCAAGGCTCTGTGATTGCAGTGGGGCGAGCCGTGTTTCTGATCATTCAGCAGTGGAGTGAATGTGGGAACCTAATTAAGACATAACTTCTCTCTGCCTTTCTATAGCATTAGGACAGAAAACCAAAGAAAGGGAATGCCCTGCAAGGGAAGGGCATTTGACCTTATCAAAATGCTTGTGAGTTAGCACTGCTGAAATGGCTTGGGATCCATCTGAGGAGCAGTTTTGGCTGCTTTCTGCTGTTAAGGCAGCTCAAAACAGCTGGCAAACTACTCTCAGGGAGAAATCTAAGGTTTCCCTTGTTACTTTTTCAGACCTAGTCATCTTAATAGTTAGTTGTACAAAGTTAAAAAACAAGACTTCAGACAGAAATATGATTTTTGCATCAGCAGTGTTTCTTCCAGCTTTGCATTAAAAGCCAATGAGGGAATGAATAATAGGAGTGTGGTTATTGTTTTATGGCTTAAAGAAATTGATTTAGAAGTAATGGGGAGATTAATGAGCGGCTGCACGAGGAACAATGTATAATGAACACCAAGGAGAGCCATTGAAGAGACAGCAAGCAGAGGTACTGGTGCATGAAATGGCTGTAGTTTTAATCACTACTGTTTTATACTTGTGCTCAGGTTTTACACTTCAGCAATATGGTAATTCAGACAATGTCAGAAATGGGAACCCTGGGTGACACAAGGCAATCTGCAAATCAGGCAGAATGAAATTTTTTGTTTCTTGCAGAAGATAATTGGTGAAAAGTATCAAGCCCTAAACTCAAGGCTTTTGATTGGACGACCCCGGTGGAAACTCCTTTTAGATGAAATAGCAAAGTGTAACAGGCGGTAAGTACCAGCCCACTTGATGGATGCCACAGTTTGAAGACTGGGGATATTATCTGTTTCTAGCTATGTTTGTAGGAAAATATTTCTGTGTTTTATCTTAGAATGTAATGTTTAAGCTACTGATGTTGAAATTAGCTAACATTTTGCTGTGAGAGAGCGAGCCTGTATAAACTGAAACTTTTTTTTTTTTTTTAACTCAGAACAGTTCATCTTTTCATGCAGCTGGGATGTTCAGTGGCCCAGAAAATAAAAGTAATAGATTTCCATCTCACTGCACAGACATTGAATATGTTTTTGTCTGTGGCAATATCTTGCTTGCAACATATGCTGGTTTTATATATAAAGTTGCATTTTTAAAAAATGTTGACATCTCTTAAAATTTTTGTGATTTATAGTGCTGGTTTACAAACAGAATGCACAAGGAAGAATCTGGCTGTCCTGTGTTGTTTTTGTTCAGAGGATATATTGTCTTTGGAGATTCCTGTCACTTTTTTATTCTTTGTTAAGACCTGGCAATGTCTTTTTACTGTGCTAGGCAAACATATTATGGTCTGAAACAAGACGATTGTAAAACAGAGAAGGCATGCAATTAGTCTATGGAATGTCTTTGTCCAGATCCAGTTTTGTTGGTTAAGTATTTTCCCCTTGCACTGGCAGTTTACTGCCTCAAAAGCTGATCTGATAGAAGGGGTTGTGTGAATCTTCCCTAATCCGCTTCTGGCAGAGTCAGTAGGGTGGTAGCAAACCTCCCTCAGTAGCTGTTGATAATAATGTGGGTGTACCAGCTTGAGAGGTGCCGCCACGGTCACCTCCAGAACTTTTCACAGAATCGTAGAATCATAGAATAGTTAGGGTTGGAAGGGACCTTAAAGATTGTCCTTAAGAATTTTTTGTCCTCTGTTGCACTTGCAAAATTAATATCTGCCCATGTTACTGTCTCTTTTCTTCTGAGGTTGGATATGACTAGGGGACACTGAGCCCTGGCTCTTGAGAAGTACTGGGCACCAGTATGTATCACTGTTGGCAGTGTAAGCGGCTGACGATACGTATCTTGGATTCAGGTCCTAGAGGATGTTGTGGACAGAGTCCCTTGCCAGGATGCCCCAAGGGCTGTTACATCCCTATCAGGATTCTCACACCATGCAAATATCACTTAAAGAAGGGGTTTGTGGTAAAGAACCATGGGAAGGAACAGGAATTAGAGAGGTCAGAGAACCAAGTTGACTCTTTGGCTCAGTCTCTTGCATGGAGAACTGTTGACCTTTTATGCTCCTTTCTAATGTCTTTTTTGTTTAACTGTGTGAATCCAGTTTTAAAAGATGAACTTGATGAGGTTTCTGCCGCTTCCTGTAACTGCATGTGATGCAGATGAAGCTATTAGTGGTACTTGTACTTGCTTTTTCTTTTGTACTTTCCACAGCGTTACTCCTAATTAGACTTCAAGTACCATTTCCTCTGCATTTTCACTTCAGGTCTTTAAATTGTGCCATCATTTCCAAGCAAGATGTCTTTTAGTACCTAAATAGTGTTCTGACCTTTTTGATTATCCTGCAGCTTGCGAAGATGTAGACTTCCTCACCCTTTGTCACCCTTTTAGCAGGGTTTGTAGATATAGGTCTGTATCTATACATAGTTACATATAACATGATAGACAGCAGTGCAACCTGTAACTCAGCTATCCCACAGAAACTTACCCTTTGTAGGTAAATATTCTTCCTGTTTCCCTGGATGAGACAGGAACGTCCATTTTTCTCTGTACTCCAATTTCGTCATCCCCTACTAACTTTATTTCGGTTCTTATTTCTCCATAACTTTCCACCTAAACAACGCTGCTGCAGTACAGAGACCAAAAAAGAAAAAAAAATAAATAAAAAAATAAAAAAAAAATGAGAACGCTGCTGCAGTACAGAGACCAAAAAAAAAAAAAAAAATTAAATAAAAAAATAAAAAAAAAATGGGGCAACGAAGTTGTTTCTAACCTCTGGTGCCAGCGTTGAGGCTTTCACATATATTTGCAATCATATTCTAGGGCTTGTTTATGGGCAGCCAAGATATTTTCCACTTTTTATCTTGTTATTTTAGTAAAAGCTGTGCATAAATAAACACGCATCTGGCAAACCTTGCATTGGTTTAGCTGTCTGATTGGCTTGTGGTTTGTGAATTGTTGCTGTTGTTGCTGTTTGGGTCCCAAATAAGCCAAGTGTATTTGTAAGTGTCTGAGCTTTGCCAGACCTTCAGACCGTGACATGGGACAACCCAGCATCAGGTTCCTGATCCTTTCTTCTGGACTAAGAGGAGCAGACGCGTGCCATCTACTGTTGGTATTTTATATGACACCCACTGTCCTAAGGATGTGCACTGGGACAGTTTATATAATAAATTACTGGTCTTGTTTTTCGTGTTGCCTTTTTGGGGATGGAGCAGCAGCCTTGTTTCTGTTCAGTTGTCTCCTAGATGAAAAGCTTACACTATGCCTTAGCTGCCACACTTTCTCAATTTTTGCTTAGTTCAAATGGACGCATGCTTTTCTCCAGATGGAGACTGCCCTAGAAAAAGATGTGAATATCTGTAGGAGAGAAAAGTGTGGAGCATCATGATACATTTCTCATGCACTGTAAAGGAGAAGCTTCTCTCTAGGAATGAATGTGGGATTTAAAACTGGAACATTTCGACTCCTGACTGTCCTCTCTAGGTAGCAAAGTATTTCACCTCTCTCTTACCTCCTACTGTTCATAAAAGAGATGTAAGAATACATGCTGACCTACTCATCCCCTAGGAACACTGAGGAGTTATTTTCTCAGTGCTCTGAATGAGTAAAATCCTGTGTTAATGTTTATAATTATTACAAAGAATGGCCTATAACATAGTTTCCCAAATTGTAAACATGTTAAAGGTGTTTATGGAGATTTTCAGACATAGCCCTACCTAGCTGCCCGTTTTCATCTGAGGGATGGAGTGAGCCATTGACCCAACCAAGTGATACACACTTAAGGCCCATCTGTTCAGGGTAGTAGCATGCTGCTCCATGTAGTAGCTGCTTTCAGCTACTCCAGCAACCAGGCAGGAGCCAAGCAGGACAGGGAGGAAGGTATCTGCAAGCAGGGGAGTGGGGGGCATATGTGGGGGAGGACATGAAGCATGAACTGTGGGAGGTGAGTGGTATGTGGAGGGGGGTCCAAAATAGATGCTGATGGTGGGTATCCTGGGAAGGAGGTTCGGGAGCCTCTGGCTCACCACACAGGGCAATGGCTCAGCTGGGTTTCAGGAGACCTTCTTAGTCAGCTGCAGATCTCTTGTGTGACCTTAGGCAAATCATTTAACCTTTCTGTGATTCTGTTTACTAGCTGAAAATCCTGGGTACCTTGGAAGGATGTTGCTGGGATGGGAATACATTAGCAGTGTGTGCTGCTTAGACATGTCTGTGCTTTGGGGGCCATATATATGTAATGAAAGGGAGTGAGATAGATGAACTCTAAATTGTATTTATCAGTTGTCTGTACTAATTAGACTAATGAAAAAAATCCAACATTCATTCTCTCAGTTAAATACACAGTAGAAAACCGATTCTTGCTGGCAGCTTATGTACCCTTTTTCTCCACTGTGCACAGATTAGAGGATGTTCAGAGTCTGCAAGTGCTGAGGAATCTAATTTGAGAGTAATGAGCAATAGCGTTCTCATTATTTCTGCAAATCCAGCCACCAACACAACACCCCTTGCCATTAAAAGGAGTGCTGGCAGGGCAGGAAAGTTTAATACATATACATAAGGGTGAGAAGAGTACGAGTTATGAATGTTTGCCATGAATTCATGTGAGAGATTATGTAATTTGAAGGCAATTAAAGTCAGTGTTAAGGTGCCTGCACAAGAGCATCGCTGCACTTACCTGTCTAACTTGGTGATGCTGTTTCTGTTTGAATCCTCAGCTGTACCATGCTGGTATCACTGTGCACTGGTACAGTGTGGGCTGCCGTGCTGTTTGAGCTGCTGCCTAACGTCAGGCACAGACACTTGGCAGTATGCAGCAAAGATTTCTTCTTATGTGTGTTAGTTCCCTTCTCTCACCAGACACATACACAGGCAGCTTTAAACTGTGCATTTGATTATCCTGCATGTGCTAAGATATTTTATATTAAATAGTCACTGGATAAAATACTGAAACAGTCCTGAAGGCAGGGACCAGAACTCAAGTCTCCAGCTTCTTGGTGAGAGCTGTAGATCACAATAGTTAGAACCATGTTCCCTCTTGTGTGCTGTCTCTCCATACCAGTGAATCTCCAAAATCTTTCTCTGTAGTGACAC